TCTCATGGACAAACCACTAAACTTTCATTAGTTGTACCTCACTGGTTGCCTTTTGGCTGGACAAGTTTTCTTGATGTTGGCTTCTGGTAAAAAGAAGCATATCAGTAGAAGAATGAGGAGAAATTCAATATTTGATAATTAAACAACTTTCCTATTGCGAACTTGATCACAGGATAAATTCGCCAACACACGAGGACGGTTATCAAGTGGTTTTGTGAAGAAACGTACACAAACACAAAAGCCATTTTAAGGTAATTACTGATAGCTGCTGCACGTATTAGGCCAAGACACCTAGAGAGCACTACTTTTAAGATCACTTGTATCAGCTCTTTTTATTGGAACCACGTTTTAGAAGCAAAGAGGACACAATGGTATACAGCATAGCCAACTTCCTGTGAAGTGTGACCTTGTGACCATTGAAGGGGTGTGGCTCAGCAAATAACTGTCTATGAGCCAAAAAAGGCTTTAAGCAAATAATGCACAGTATGAAAATGTGAGCCTACAATTAGTTTAATCACATTCAAGCCTATATAAAGGCTTCCCAGTTTAGAATGACTTGCCTTGATTCATCAATATTAGAATGAGATTAATGGAATATGTCACCTGAAAATGAACATTTTGTCATCATTTACTCATAGTTGTTCTAAACCTATATGAGTTTCTTTCTTCTGTTGAACACAAAATAAGTTATTTTGAAGTATACTGCTAACCAAACAGTTGACGGTAGTCGTTTCTATGCTATGGGAGGGAAAAAAAACACTATGGAAGTCAATGGCGTCAACTGTTTGGTTACCCACATTCTTCAAAATATCTCCAGAAGAAAGAAACTTGTACAAGTTTGGAACAACTGAAGGGTGAATGATGACAAAAAATTCATTTTTGTGTGAACTATCCCCTTAAGAACAATTGTATGTGTATAAACATGTGAATCCAGTGAAAATTTTCTTTGAGCACCTCATTTGTATGCAATTATTTGTGAATGAGGCCCACCGAGAGCAGTGTCTTCAAAAATGCAGGTGTGATCTACAAACACCTGTTAAGGAAAGACAAATGAAGGATCACATGATGTTCTTTTACCATAGATCAGCTATTTGCCTCTGGCAGGAGGACATAGGGTCAGATCCTGAACTATTATTGAGCAGCATGTACCATAAAGCTGTTATACTCCTTATAACAAGCCTAAACAAGAACAGTTCAATGGGGCCAAGTCTAGTCAGGGGAAGTGGATTATTGTTTTAATTTGGGGGGGAAAAGCCTTCCTACAGTACATTGACGCCAGCTTTGCAATCTTGGCTGTATAATACAATTTTCACCAAAAGACTCTGAACTTGGCTCTCGTTGAGGTCTCCTGGGCGAAGAGAAAGAACTGAGGTTTTGTTTACAACATGAAAAAACAAAAATAAACATGAGCTATTACTACCAGGTTATCTCTATTTGTTCACAGTCTCTCTACAATTCACAGGAAACTAACCATAATCTACATGTCATGAATCTAATTAATCTCTGGTTGAAAAATCTCACATGGTCATATGAAGCCTTTCCCAAAACTCTGGGGAAAGTCAAAGCCACTGACCTTTAATTCCCCCTTCTTCTCTAATCTCACACTATCCTTCTTCAAGGTGATCCGTTCCTCTCCGAGGCATCAGGGGAAAGGTTTAAAAGGTTTTGGAATGCCCCAGAGTCTCCCAGTGGGGGCTTTCCAAACATTCCAGGGGCAGTTTTTCTCTCTGTCTGCTTTGTTTCCAGCGGGTTTCAACAGCCGTTTTTTGTTCGCTGTTCTAAACAGGCTGAAGTCTACACTTGTGCACTCTAAAGACAGTTTGATGTCCTTTTTAGTATGTCAGAGGAACTGCTTTAATGTGGCAAGCATGTCTGTGTTATCTAAACTTTAACTACCTAAGCTTGTCAGTTGGAAGTGATGACAATGCACTAAAGCCATTGGCAATAGACGTAGAAAAGACGTTGGTTTGACGTAGGGCTGGGCGATATAGCTAAAAAATGTATCAACGATATAATGTTTCATATCGTTCGGTATCGATAATTATTGACATTTTTTATAAACTTTTTTAAAAAGAGCAATAGAAAGATGATTACATTTAACCACTGCATTTTTAAAGTAACTCAATTTATTGAGACAACCAACAAATATTTGTTTTAACAGTCAAACACAAAATAAAAATTAAACAAATATCTAACTTCTAATGTTTTATATGCAGATTAAATAGGCTTAAATATTGGCTTGTTTCCCGAAGCCACAGGAGGGTGCAATGAGCAAAATAATGCAGCACATTAAATTGTCAATGCAAGGAGACAACGGTTTATAATATATATAAAAAAAACATGCATTATGTCTAAAATAACTCATAAATCAAATATCATTTCATAAATTGCATAAACAATTATGAACAAAACAGCATCATGTATTTATGCATTGCTTAATACAAAGAGCCGAATCGCCCATCACACATATTGCCTTTAAAAACATATGAGACGCAGTGAAAAGGAATAAACCTCCACAAATTCGTGACCTGTTTAAGTTTAAACTGTTTTAACCTTGCATGGCTTTCTATACATCTCTTGTGTGTCGCGAGTGCAGTAGTCATATTCATCCATCTAGAAAATGCGCTGAATATGCGTTCTGTGTGAATGGCTTGGTTTCGGTTTTAACCTAATCAAGATCTTCTATGAACTGAGCTACTATATTTCTCTAATATTTTGAATGAATGACGTAGCAACTGCGAGTCTCGTGGGCTAGACTAACAAAACATTAAACTACAACGTCACTTACATCATCATCACCGCATCTCGTGCTCCCTGACGCACACCTAACATTTGACTGTACTATTTTTGCATTCAAATGCAAATGTTTATTTTAAATTCGACTAATATTCTTTTTTTTTAAATTCACAATCTCCTCATCACAGGCAGGCACAGCGCTTATGCTCGTATGTGCTGTCTTTGTCCCTCATAGCACATGCCTATATCGTGCACTATATCTAACATTTTTTTATATCGTTATCGAAGAAGGTGTACCGTCGATAAATACCGATACCCTTTCATCGACCAGGCCTAGTTTGACGTCAAAAAAACTATCAAATACGCAAATCAAACTGACGTCAGAAACTTGATATGACATTGATTTGATGTAAATTGAACATCAAACAGTCTACGTGTGGGATTAACTTTCTATTTTCACCCAATTACCACTGGAAATTTAAAATGATGTTGTCTTGATTATGTCTTGACTAATATTTGACACCAAGGTGCCCGCTGGGCTTTTCAGGGGATTTCAATCTGACAGTCATTGCTTCAGGCTTTGTTTGCACCTGGTATCAAGATGCTTTTCATCGACCACAAGTGGACAACGTTAAATACAGGCATAAATGTTTTGAGCTTGTCCATTTTCACTTCCAGAGGTAGTCAAAAAAGCATTTGATCTTTTGTAGCGTATACCTAAAATGTGAGCCTTATGGGACATGCTTTGAGTAAGCACACCAAAACAATCGATTGAAATTGCTGTTACCATTAATATCCTTTCCATTTGCTTCCATTTCCTGCTCGCTCATAAACAGCGTAATGGCTTCAGTCATCATATTCATGCTCCGGACTGGCAAGTGTGCCAAAATAAGACGTGAGGAAATCTGAACACAAGTGGTCACAGCAAATGCATTTAAAAATGCATACTAAGACCAGGTGTAATCGGTAATGCGTCTCAGCTCATAATGTTATCAGACCACTGAAAACGCATCTTAAAACCAGGTGCAAACAAGGCCAAAGATCTTACAGGGTAAGAGGTCATTTTAAGTCTTTCAACACAGGTTAGAACAGTAATTGTTAACCAGTGAAAAATGGGAAAACTTAGGTTATAGAATGGTTAACGGATCGGCCTGTTTGGGATTAAAACCAACAACCTTTTGCCTATCAACCGAGATTATTAACCATCACACCATTTAATGTACAGTGACATTTAGATACTTTAACAGACAAAAGCAAAATAGCACGACCATTCCTTGATGTCAATGACCCAAGACATTTAGGATGTCCAGACCTGGGAGGAGCTATGGGATAAAATGCACTTGCACCATCATTGCCCACAGTTAACGCTTAAAAAGGTGAATGTCATCAATCCAAGAACGAATTTAGGATGTGGTCATGACCTGTTGCAAGAAGTCTGATTTGTAACCTACATTTGGCTGGTGAAACATGTTATCTAACTTCCTTTTTCCACCGATTAAAAGAATTAGCTGTACACTTTACAGCTGAATATGCTCCGAGTTCACAGCCCAAACTTCATTTCAGTAGATACATGGATGTGGCCAACACAATCTTATGGCAATTTGTAACTATTTTAGCAAATTAGTGACTAATTTGTATGATGTGTATGGTTGTTCGCCTCCTTGTCACATAGTTACGTTTTCTCATTCGATCGGGTTGGCTGTTGCATATTACAATACTCCAAAAAAAAAAAAAACACATGTAGGCTACATATAAACATAAACATATGATTATTTTATCAACCTAAGCTTTTCTATTAACTTTTATTGTAATGTATCCAGTTCATTCGTTGACTGCACCCAGATATAAAAACATACCCAGCCAGCATATGACTGACCTTCAACATTGAAATATAGTTGAAATAAGGTCGGTTCTTGTTTTAACGTTGAAACAACATTTAATGCTGAACGGTTGAAATACATTTAGCATTTACAGTGAACAGTAGCCTACTAAAATTAATGTCTCCAGTAAAAACATTTCTACACATCTAAAACGAAACTATTATGTGTGTGTTGACAAAACTGTTATACAAGCTAATGAGTAAAACAACTGACATCTGATCATACGAATCGAACATATCAGAATGGAACGGGCTGTTGGCTCAGTGAGCGTGATTTCAGAACCGCAGAATCGGTCCAATTTGCGCAAATGATCCAGTTCATTTAAAAGATCCGACTCAAAAGAACAAATCCTTCAGACATCGCTACTTTATTAGTAAGACTCACCAGATCTTGAGATGTTCTGGAAGTATAATATAAGAATGAAAAACGATCCGACGCATGTCGCCAGAAACATCCGACCCACTTTGGGCTTTATCATTCTGATACTCCTCTAACGGACGATGCCTGACTCTCGCCCGGCGACGGAGGTCCGAGAAGGGCTGTTGTCTCCGAAGAACAATCCTAAAAGCGTCTGTCCAACGGGTTCCTCATTTTACAAAGAAACACAAAAAAGTCCAAAAAGCAACTTGGTGTAAACTAATTCCGATACACGCTCAAAGCAGACGCTTGTCTACCCGAGAACAGACCGCTTTATAGTTGGGTGTTACACGAACCATTCACCCAAAAAACTTAACAGGTCCAACTCTGCTTCAGCGAGCCTTCGCTTTCCAAGCGCTCGCGTCAAATAAGCAAAAATGCCATTGATCACCTACATATCTTCGGTGCGTCACATGTTACGGTTGTCAGTTGAGCACTCAACTTCCCCTAAACATGGAGGGCATTGTATCAAACTTTCGTGCATGACGTCACGCCCACCAGCATCTAGCTGAGAGCCCAGGGGCCCCTGGATGTGACGCAACAACTGGAACCCTCGAGTGCGAACGTAAAACGCGAGCGTTTTCTAACGTTACCGAATAAAATTAAAGAGACTTAAACAGACTTAAAGTACATTAATAATTCGCTTTCATGTCTTTAAATAAGGAATATCTCATCTAGGCTATTTTTTCTTTTTAAAATAACCATACACACTTTTATAAACGTCTAATCCTATACTATATAATACTATACAGTGTTGGGGGCAGGGTGCGAACTACGGGGGAGCTCGGCTCCCCTTAATAAGACATGGGCTGCACTGAAAACGGGATTTGTGAAATTT